AATAGTGTTATGTATTAATTTAAGATGTTTAGTTTATATATAAGTTTATATTCTGATCTGAAAGCCTAAATGTCCATTAAATTATCCATAGAAAAATTAAGAATTCTCTAGAGCATTTAAATAACACGTTAATATAAGGAAGTTAACCGTATTTGAGAAGTAGAATATTCGAGAACATTCAGATATTGATGAAATAGAACAAATTCGAACATGACTTATTACTAGAATATTAGGGAACGATGAAAAGATATAAATACGATGTAATTTGGAGCAAGCATTAGAACAGTTACATTACGTTAGATTGAGTATTAATGATACAGTACAGTATGCAGTAATCAGTGATTCAAAGTTTTATAGTATTTGAAAGTATATTTGAAAGTATATTAAAATTATAATATTTATATGGTGATTGGAGATTATTAAGAAGAAAAAATAAGATTATAAGAAAGAAGTGAAGAAGAAACAATAAATAAAGAAGAATATTTTGCCCATTTATAAATGCTATTAAGGGGAGGAAATTGGTGGAAGCTGATAATTAAAACATTGTGGTGTATTTGGAAAAAGTAATTTCACAAAAACAAGAATAATCGAGGCTGAAAACGAAGATATTGAGTGGTGATTAAACCCTGTATTTTGGAAAACGGTTTCATTTAGGCATTCAGTGACAGAAAGATACCAAATTTTGTTAACATAATTTAATTATTGTAAGAATTTTAAATTTAAAATAGGTTGTTCTAAATTTATATTGTCTATATTAGATAATATATGTGTGTTTCATAATAATTATAATAAAGATAATTTAAAAAAAGTACTTACAAACTAATTCTTTGAGAACCGCGATAAAAAACTCTATACTTATATATGTTATTTTAAATTGTTCATTGCTCATACACAAACTTATATATATATATATATATATATATATATATATATATACATATACATATATATATATATATATATTTATATATTTATATATATATATATATATATATATATAATATATATATATATATATATACTTCATCTAATTTAGATAACGACTTACGTCATTATCTACGTCAGAGATCGAAGTTGACATAGTTGCCAAAGTATAAAAAAATCCTGACTCCATTTTAAATCAAATAGATTACATAATTATTGCAAAAGTATTGCCATCTCTTTACAACGACTATTTAAATTCTTACGTGACATTTTTGAAATAAAACACACTAATTTTATTCTAAAAAGAACAGATTTTATTAAATAGTTAAAAATATAAAACAAGAGATATTCACTTTAAAATTCAAAATAATGAAGTACAAAAAATGTCAACACCGCAACTGTCAAATAAGTGTTACCAATTTATGCCAAAATTTTATCTTTGTTTGATTACAGTTACAGTGTGTTCCGAACAAATGTTCTTGATAAAAAACGCTTTATAATGTATTTATACAAATGAAATGAAACATATTATTGTGTATTTCTTTAAGTTAACATTAATAGAAATTTTTAAAGATTATTTCTACGCGTATATTATAAAATATGTCTAGGGGCTGTAATGCCAGTGTACTCGGTAAAGTGATTCTAAAAAAGAACATACCTACACCCTAAATATTTTGTGTTGGTATCATGTGACGTCACAGGCTATGACGTCGATGACGTGCATCGTTATATAAATTAGATGAAGTGTATATATATATATATATATATATATATATATATAAATATATATGTATATATATATATATATATATATATATATATATATATATATATATATATATATATATATATATAAAAGGAAATGGGAAAAATAATGCGAGTAAAGAATAAAAGTAAAAAGTAATGGCTATTTTTACTACTACTATTTTTACTTTATGTATTTTTTCTTTACTTTATATATGTGTGTTCGGAACTATTTCCGTGGTTAGTAAAATTAAACCTAGAGCTGGGGTTAATACTATTATAACAATTAATATTAAACTCACCAGTCTTCCGGTTGAACTGCGTTGATTTCCATTGCGCCGAGCTTTCGATATCTTCCCTGATGTCTTCTTCGGGGCTTCCGAGGTCCCAGTCTCCCGAGCCCCCAGACACTACTGCACTGATCACTATTCACTTCACTACTGATTTTTTCTGAGTTTTTACCGAGATTTTTCAAACCATGATTCACAAATTGAACCCTTCATATCCTCATGATAATCTAGATTCACGTCTTTAATTTTTTTTGCAGATAATAATCATTTTCTACACCACAGTGTAAAATTATAATTTTGCCCTTTATTGGGTGGTACTGAATTAGAAAACTTTTTGTTATTATTCGCCCAACTTTTTTCACCATGTTATGAGTGTCATACCAGGTCTCATTCAAATAAACAATATTTATTTTGACAGGCTACAAAATCTATTTTGTGGCCTATCTGAATATGATGTGCTAGGGCTGAGGTAGTATCGGAATGTTTGACTGATAGAGAATGTTCGTAAATACGGTTATGGATTCGTAGATTTGTTTGTCCTATGTATGAACGTGGGAAACTGGAACAAGGTATTTCGTAGACACCATGGTCTTCATTGGGGATTTGGTCTTTTAGGGATTTGACGAGATTGGACAACTTGGAGTGAGTAGTAAAGATGTGATGTTTAGAGGGATAAGAGTTCTACTGATCTTGTCAGTGACACTTTTAATAAAAGGTAGACAGATTTTGGGTTGATCCGGCGGCAAGGTTTCTTTTTTGGATGGAATGGGATTTAGATATTTTTAAATGTTTCTAATGATTTGGGTTTTGTGGTAACCGTTTTGTAAGAGTGTTTGCCTTATTAAATTGATTTCGGATGACCTGTGGTTATTAAAGAGACCTGTAAAAAATAAGAGTTTTGATAACTGAATTGAGTTGGGCGGGCTGATGATGTGACTGGGCATCGAGATAACGGTTTGTATGAGTGGCTTTCCGGTACACTGAATAGGAAAATCTGTGAGATGGGTTTTTCTGAATAAAAGCATTAAGGAATGGCAAAGACGCTTTAGACTCAACTTGAATCGTGAATTAAATGCTGGGTTGTATTCCGCTCAGGTGGGAGAGAAAGCTATCTAATGTCTTTACCATTGGTTAAATGACAAAGATGTCATCAATATACCGACACCAGCAGGTGGGTTTGACATTTTCTGAGGACAGGGCTACTGTTTCGAAATGTTCCATATAGATATATAGATTTTGGAATGAAAAATATGTATTAGACATGCAGTGTTTTATAAGAGATAATGTGTCTTGGGGGATTTAATGTTTAGAGTTCAAGATGGAAATTGTTTCATCAAAGGAAATGTTTGTAAATAAAAAACATTGTCAAAACTAACTAGTATATCTGATGGTGAAATAGAAATATTTTTCAGAAGATCAATGAAATGGAAAGAGTTTTTGACAAAGGACGAGGAGTTTTCGGCTAATGGTTATAAAGAAAAAGCGAGATATTTATCCAACTTCTGAGTAGGGGTAGGAGTAGTTGTATGCACTGACGATGGATCTTAGGGGAACATTGGTCTTATGGATTTTTGGAAGGTATATTTTTGGAATTCGATATGATTTTTCTCTGGGTATAAGATATGTCTGAAGGTAGAGTAGGCTTATTTATAATGGATTTGGTCGTTTTTTCTAGATATATGGCGGGATATATTCTATGTTTTTCTATTCTGTGTAATTGAGAAGTTTGAACATTAGTTGAGAATGACGGAAACATTACCTTTGTCGGATGGAAGGATGACAATGTCAGATTTGTTATAAAGTTCTTTGAGGACACGTCTTTCTGAAAGACTTACATTTGACAACGGAGGTTGGGAGGTATGGAGAATTCTGGCGACATCTTGTCTGGCAATTTCGGCTTGATCGGATGGAAGATCAGAAATAGCTTCTTCAATTTGTTAGATAATGTTCTCTGTTGGGACGGAAAGAGGAGTAACAGAACAATAGAAGCCTTTTTACACAGTTTTGGTAGCTGTAAATAATAATATTTTTGTAATAAATTAATAATAAAAACTATTGTTACTGGTTTTGATTTCCACATAAAGTAACTGTATATTCATTCATATATTTATATTAATCAAGCCAACATGACAATGCGTTATGGTGTTTGCAAAGTATAACTTTTTCTGTAATCTCACGACTAGTAAGTAAGAAAATTAATAATCATAACTAAATCATTTTTATATTTATTTGTTAACAGATGTCCTAAAAAAGAATTAAAATAAATTCAAAAGCTTGACAGTAAGTCAAAGAGTTTTCTTTGTCTTATGGACCAAATAGACTGCATCCTCAAGAATCACCACACACACACACACACACACACACATATATATATATATATATATATTATATATATATATATATATATATTTGGTTTTATAATACTTAATAATTTATAAAATTTGGAAATATATTTTATTTGAAAATGATGTATAGGTAATGACTCGTTTGGTTGACCGATTTAAATTTTTCAAAGTGCCTTTCAAAGCTTAAGTCTTTCTTTATATGTTAAAAAAGTAAATTTTAACTAATTTAACAAGAGGTTATTTGGTCTAGCCTAATTTTAAAAATTTGAGTTTTTTTACAGACCCTGGATTGCAAAATTTTCGAATTTTTTTCAATTATTGCTATTTTTTAAATAATAAACATTAAATTTTAATTTTTCAACTAGTCAAAGTTTTTTTGTATGAGCAATATTTTTCGATTTATAGGCAACAATTTCAGATTTTATTAAATAAAAAATTAAGCACAAGGTTTACGCCTGGCGCATATCGTGATTATTGATACAAGGTACATCTTGAAGTGACTGCAGCAAAAAAAATAGACATGGATGGAAAATATCCAATTCAAACTAGATCCAGCCTGAATATTTTTTATACGCCGATAAGAGTTGAAAGAAGACAAAATACTACATTTATACATAAATACTAAGTAATTTTAACGTGTTTTATTATTTTTAATACAGTTAAATTATGATTAATATAAATTATCTTTTTATTTTAGAGTTTTTACACAAGATACGTAATTGAAAGATTCAAATGCATGAAAACCTGGAACAATAAATTAGCTGCCATATTTTACGGTCCAAGCTGGCAACCTGGTAAACCTCGATTGGGATTAGAAGAGGACAAAGTAAAAGTAAGTATTAACTTTCTTAAACTGTGTTCTGTATTTTTATTTTTAAATGCATACTATGTCAAATCTTGCAAATACAATTTTTTTGGTTATATTTATAGAGAATTATTTAAAGGCTTCTTATAGACCAGACTTCATTTCTATTTAAATATTTGGGCCCTGGCCACACTTAGCTTAGTTTAGCTCTACTTGATGTTTATAAGGTAGATGAAGGTAATTTAAGATAAAGTACTATTTCAATAAAATTTTCAATTTAATTCTACAATAAAAAATTCGAAATTACGATTTAGTTATTGAAGATCCCGATTGAAATTTCGGTGGTACTGATCAGAGAAAAGAGTGGTTCTGTGGTATTAATGATTAGAAAAAACATAGACATAAATGAATAGATGAACAATAAACTGACAGAAAAATAAATAGTATATGGAGACAGAAGCCTTTTGGTATTATTGACTGTATCGCAACATATATTGCGTCATCGGACAGATGATAGAATTTAGAATAAATAATATAACGTAGAATGACATAGAAGTATGGACAATTATTGCAGACCTAAAGAGAAGATTGTTGGTAGTTGAAATGGGTTATTTGAGAAGAAGTGCTAGACCTTCAAAGCTGAAAAGGAAGACCAACGAATCTATAAGAAATAACATAAATGCTACATGAACGGTCATTGACATAATAAAAGGAAGAAGTTTAAAATTGTTTGAACACTATTGAGAATGTCTGACGAACGTTGGTCCCAAAATCTTTACAGATGGAAGCCCTCTGGAAGAAGAAAAAGAACTAGACCTTGACGCTCATGGAATGAAGGAATTAGAAGAGCGATGAAATCGAGAGGTTTGGAGGAGGACTATGCCTTCGACCGGAAAATACGGCGATAGCGGTCCCAAAATGTATTGTATTTACAAGTTGGATCATGTATTTATATTATATATTTATATTTTATATATATATATATATATATATATATATATATAGAAGAATGTATATATATTATATATATATATATATATAGATATATATATATATATATATATATATAATATATATATATATATATATATTATATATATATATACATTCTTTTGACTTTTGGTCTAGCTTTAGGAATTGTTTCATTCCTTTTTTAAGACACTGTAAAAATGTCAGTGCAACTTACTTGTCGTTGAGATTATTTGTATAAAGGTATAATAACACTCAATATTATTAACATACATATAAAATATAACATATAAAATAATGGACAAAATACATTTTAAAATTTCGTTAAAGATAGTAAAAATTAGTTTGTGATATCTTTTAATGGTGTTTTTTGACTGATCCATAGAGAATAGAAAGAAAAAAAAAACAAAAAATAGTATGATTAAAAATTAATTAGGTGTTCACTCATATTTTATATTAATAGAAAGTAATGTATTAAACCTGTGTTGATAGTATGCAACCTGTTTTGCATGCAGGTGCGGTGCATTGTGGTGTATATATACACCTGCATGCAAAACAGGTTTCATACCAACACAGGTTTAATACATTACTTTCTATTAATATAAAATATGAAGAACATAATTAATTTTTACCCATACTATTTTTGTTTTTTATCTATTCTCTATTGATCAGTTAAAACACACCATTACAAGATGTCACAAACGAATTTTTACTATCTTTAACTAAATTTTAAAATGTACCTATTTTGTCCATTATTTTATATATATTATAGGTTATATTTTATATGTGTGTTATTAATGTTGAGTGCAATAGCTTTATACAACTAATCTCAACAACTAGTAAGTTGCACTGACATTTTGTGATATATTGTAAATATTTACATATTCTTCTAATTACAGTGCCTTGAAAAAGGGATTAAACAATTCCGAAAACTAGACCAAAAGTCAAAAAAGTGTTTCTGTAACATCCCTTCCAAAGCCCAGCCAAACTTCTGACTGCAGCCCTAATAAACTTGTTGTTTGTTTAAATCAACAATCACTAATATCCAGTATTCATTATATATATATATATATATATATATATATATATATATATATATATTTATATATATATATATATATATATTATATATATATATATATATATATATATATATATATATATATATATATATATGACGTAAAATCAGCAAAAATGACCTCAGGTCAAAAGCAATGTTGAAATCTATCATTGATGACTCTTATTAATAGGATATTATTTTTTGGTCGATAGATATGAATGTTTTTTTATGAAAAACCTCTACTTCTCATTATATTAGAAATATTACTTACTACATTTACATTACTTTTTTTTTAGGTAACCAAAAGAGAAAAATATAATATTAATCTTCCTTTTTGGTGCAATGCATACCTTCTATTACATTTTTCTTTGGTAATTTATGGATATCAATACTTAGCAACTCTTCATATGGTACGTATATAATTCCATGTAAATATAAAGCCATCGAAAAATAAACCTAATTAGAGTAGTCTATGGAATAAGAAAAACGTAGCTTGGGATTTTAACCCCTTGTCCAGACTGACATATGCATAATCTAACTTAAGTATTTGTTTACCACGTTTTATTAAAATTTTAATAGCAATGTTTTTGGTTCGGTAGATTATGTACCTTAAAACAAAAAATCTGGGTTTGAAATACTTATCTCATGGATACCGTTCCAATTTTCCTATCGCTTCCTTTAAAAAAAGTACATTTGCCGACTGCCTAAAGATAGCCATTATACCTTTTTATAAGGGTGGTGAAAAAATCTCATGCCTGCAACTATAGGTCTATTGCCTTACTACCGGTACTTGCCAAAATTATTGAGAGACTTATAAAAGCAATTTGTGCCCGTTCTTCTTAAAAACAACATTTTATCACAAAATCAGTTCGAGTTTTTATCTAATAAATGTACCAGTGATGCTATGTTTTCTGTGCTACATGAGGTTTACCAAGCACTAAACAATAATCTTTACATCGCCACTGTTTTTTGTGACTATATAATTGTGTAAATCATATAGTCACAAAAATCATCATATCAGGAATCAACTGGTTGTAACATTTTTTTTTATTATTAATATATTTCATGTTCGTTTATCAACCTTAAAATATTATTGAAAACTACCGAAATATCTACCTACCAAACTATGACGGAATTTCCTGAGTCGAAAGGTATTTTAATCCTTTCCGTCTTAATCCTGAATATGAAAGGAACTAATGCTTTTCGGTTAAGTCGGGTTTCTGTTTAATACTTTGACAAACAAAATCTCGAAGGCATTTTATGGTATGTTCGGTAAAAACCCAATCTACCAGGTTTATATTTTACTAGTACCGTAAATACCTCAAACTTTCCGAAGTCGTTAAGATCTTATCTTCTCAGAACTACATACGACTGGCCTATGATTCTACCCCTTCTTGTTTCTTGGGTAGTTGGTAAAATTTTAGAAAAACCAACTGACTTATCGGTGGGCCGTTGCGGAGAAAGGTTGATTTCTCGTGAGACGCTTCGCTCACATCGTATCTGTTAGGTATCTTACCGTCTGTGAATTGTTTTGTAAGTGTGTATACACTTTATATTTGAGTTTTTCTTTCTTATACTATATTAAATTATATAGTTTTAAAATACCTTTAATATTAATTAAATTCAGTGTTTGATACATGTAAAGTATTAAGTACAGTATATAACTTCAGTGAAGTACCTAGTGAACCAGTCGTCAAGATTTACTGTAAGTAATCAGTATCTTCAAATTATCTGGGCGAGTAATATGGTATATTATCATCCTCCATTATCTGGACGTATCTAAAGTTTTTCCATGTCTTCACCTTTAGATTGCTGATTTTTGTATTCAATTTAAAGAACATTTCAATAAATTCATGAAATTTCAATAAATAATAATTATGAACATTACTCTCAGTTTATCATTAAATAATAGTGCCATATAGTTAATCCACTTAGCCAAGTTCGGTTTGGTTAATTTTTTATGTTTTCATTTCTGTAACCTTTTTGTATTTTTGTAAATTTAGATTTAATTAATTTTTGTTATCTTTTGTGTTTGTTAAAAATTTTATTAATTTTTTTTACTGTAATATCTCGAGGTACGCCCATAACACTTTATTTGTAAATGATTGTCTTATATATCTTTGTAAAGGTATTTGCTAATTACATTACTGCTTATTTTTATGTGTATACTACCATTTTATAGTTGGTGGTGTATTTTTATTACTTGTGTGTCATTCAGCAGCGTCATAATTTTGTTGTTGAACATATTGTTATTGTTTTATGTATGTATTTTATTTGTCGGCTCGTATGAAGTTCCCTGATAAAATAGTAACTCTGAATATTTGCTTTTTATCTTTAAATATTTCTATACTTTTGACCACTAGAAAGATCAGGCTGAATAAGTTTCGTAAGTAATATATTTATTGTTTGTTTATATATTGTGTTGACCAAATTTATTTGATAATTAACTGTTGGTATCTTTCCTTGGGTTTGATCTCTGAACCTAAATATCTTTCCTTATCTCTTTTCTTTAATTTTCTCCTTAACCCCAAAAAATTGAGTGGCGCCCTGTTTCTATCTTATCGTATCTTTGGTAATTTTACCCATCTATCTTTTTGTTTATTTCTGTATCTTTTCTAACATCTCTTATCCTATCTTTACTTGTTTCGTCCGTTCATCTGGCTGCCGTCCGCAGTGTCTCCATTAGTTATCTTTCTAGCACCATCCAAAAAAAGATTTCCGAGGTTACATGGTTAGAGCAAATGATACTGACTAGTCACAAAAGCATTGTGTGTGGAGTACTACAAGGCTCAGTATTAGGTCCTCTACTTTTACTTTAATAATGACATCACTAATTTAAAAATCGATGGAAAATTTTTTCTTTTTACTGATGATACCATTATTTTCTACAGCAACTTTATTATTACAACTCTTTATGCAACTATAGCTTCTGATCTACTTACAATAAAAACCTAGTCCAATAATAATTTACTCTATTTAACGTGGATAAGACATTAGCATTATGCTATAAAGGAGCTCTTCAACCCTTGCTTCTTAATAACAGCCAGATCAGTATAATTTCTTGGCATTTTTATACACAACAACCCAAATTGTCCCTTCATATCGATTTGTCAAGTAAGAAACTAGCCTCAGCCTGCCATGCAATAAGATCTGTTTCGAAGGAAATCAATTTAGCATCTTCCAAAATAATGTATTTCTCTTCATTCGATTCTCATCTTCGATATGGTCTTCTTTTTTGGGATTCCAGTACAGCTGCCCAATTTTATTGGGCAGCTGTACTGGAATACAGTACAGCTAGTTATTTGTTTGGCCTCAGAAGAACAACAAATTGCAGAAGCTGCTACAAAAATCCTGTACAAACATCTCGATTTACAACTTAAACCTGCAACATCTTTCCCCAAGTTCCGTGAAATGGCAAAAGCTTAGCAACATGAAAGACCATATTATTCAGTAGAGAGAGTCCTAGCAGAAGTGCAGTTAGTGCACCACACGCGGGCGGCCAAAAGAAAGGGCGGTAGTAGGTCGCATCTATTTCTATAACAAAGAATAAAATGTTTCACGTATTTCTCAAAATAAAACGTAAGTTCATCAGAATTTCATTATATCATAAGTTATGAAAAAGTCCCATTTTTTTGATAGCACGGTTTAAAAAAATAGAGTGTAGTGCAAAATGTGTCAGCCATTATTTTCTACTGTTTATACATATTGACACCTTCCTCATTTAATAGAAAAATTTGAGGCAGAGGTCGCAACAGTTAAAGGATTTTTTTGCTTGAAATAATTTGCGATACTAGCGTTGGCTTATTCATATCTCGCTTATGCATGTTAATAAGAACTTAAAAAATGATTTCGGTAAAGTTAAAGGGATACAGCACCGGCATTTTTTCTGCAAACAGTATGTAAAACATAAAATGAGAGGAACCATATTATTTATTTTAATATGTTCATTTAGGTTCGATTTAACATACAATAGAAAATAATAGTACTACTAACTTAATCTAAATAAGTGAAAGTAAAAATTAAAAGTGAAAACGTGTTTTAATTAAAAATTAATAGGGAAAATTCCAGTGGTTGACTGCATACCACAGTTTACAAAACTTACAAAGAAGGAAAAACGTTTTATGTATCATGGTATATATTTATTTAAAAAATTTAAAAATTACCCAAAAGGATTGTTTTTTTTAATCGTTTTTGCCCATCCTGTCAGATCGTCATTAGTGAATCATCTTAAAAGTGTAACGAATATATTTGGCTTACCACATATATTATTACTATCAGTGGTTGAAAATTGGGACATAAGTTACTGGGGGTGAAGATAGGGCAAGCAAATTAATCGTAATTTATGCGAACGGCATTCAGGGTTTGTTTCGAGAGCTGGGATCGAGGATAAGTGAATGGTAAGGGGTCGGATTGGGGCAACTACAAAAAATGAAACAAATGGGTACTTACATGAATCTCTTGAGACAAACAAAACAAAACACAGGAAGGACCTCTAACAATTTAAAATAGACGCCGCTTCAAAGTGCCCAATTATAATGATTACAACAACTAGTTGTAACTATTGAAATAATTATTAAAAATAAAAAATATATCTGTTTTACATGAAACTCAAAAAAGGGGTTAGAGAGGGAAATAAACAAAATGGTTAGAAAAAAATTAAACATTTATTGTGTCTCAGCACAGTTACAAAAATAGGCAATATAAAAGTACTCAAAAATAGAAAATACAAAAATACTATCTTCATAGTCATAAAAGTAACTACAAAATTAACAAAGAGAAACATTTACTATTGTTACTGGGCTATAAACTGTGGCAAATATAAAATTATTACAAGTAAAAAAACTATATTTTTAAATGAGGAACGCAATTAATATTATTAAAAAAACGTCTACTTTACTTTGAAATTTTAAAACAAAAAGTTACCTCGATTTTCACTAAATTTATCTACTTTACTCTTCTGGGGTCGGAAACTGGGCCTACTAGACTTAAAAATTTCTGAGAGAACTGGACTGAGAATCTCTCGACACACGAACAAAAAAACTGCATATCTCACTGCAAATTATTGAAGTTGGAAGTTGAGGCACTGGAATACAAACTTTAGAAACTCGGCTTCTTAAAAAACAGGAATAGGTACAGCAGGACTCAATGGCAACATTTTAAATTTTACTTTAATTGCAATCACACATTGAACTGAATAAACTGCTACTATTAACTTTACAAAACAGTAGGTTTCCATAACAAGGAGACAATAAAAAAATCATATACGAATTTGAAGAAAATTCATCTTCACTCATCAATAAGTAGACTACCAGCTTTGGAGTCATATTTTAATATTGTTTATTACATTTCTATAATAGCATAAGTAATAATTTTCTTTTTCTTTGTTTCAGACTATAAATCCTCTATCAGTTCTGATGTTTGTTATATATATTATCGCCTCTCTCACAACCATCGGTATGCTGTTTGACAATAAGCCTTACGCATGTATCCTGGAATTGTTAAGATGTATAGTACTTGTAACTGCAATACAAAGAATCAATTTCGACAGAATTGACAGCGATATTTTGGCATACGTAGAAGCCTTTTTTTTGCTGTCAGCACTATTTTGGTTTCTCCAAAGTATAAAAGTTCTCCAAGTATTAAAAATGAATGTAAAGTAGATTACTTTACTCTTAGATTTGTTGTAAATTTTATGACTGATTTTAATTGTGATGTAGTTATTAAGGTTAAATATAGTGATATACTTATTACGTCAAAAGTAATTAATATCTAGTGTTAAATTGTATCAATTGACAGGTACTTAATTATATTATTTATTAGTTTGATGTTAATAAACAACTGTTTAATTTTGCTCATATTTTCTACATTTAGTATATATGGCTTTTCCGGATGATGTTAATAAATATTAATATTTCTTTCTTTCTATTAATATTAATACTTTGAATAGAGTGGAAGTAGTGGAGTAGAAAATAGAAATACATTTTACGATGAATTAATTTTTTGATAAGAAACTTATCAAATATCATATTTGTCAAAGTACGGAAATTCTCGAAATTATATTCATGTTTCAACGTCATGTTCTGTGAGTGCACATGGATTGATTAAAAAAAAAACGAAAAAAAAAATGTTAATGGTGAGTGTCAAAGCTTTTTATAAATAATCTCAACGAATAGTAAGTTGCACTGACTAATTGTGATATTTGGTAAATATTTACACATTCTTCTCATTATAGTGTCTTGAAAAAGGAATTAAACAATTCCGAAAGCTAAACCAAAAGTCAAAATAGTGTTTCTTTAACATCCCGGTCAAACTTATGACTGCAGCCCTAATAAACTGTGTTGTATATATATATATATATATATATATATATATATATATATATATATATATATATATATATTATATATATATATATATATATTGTTATGTTATTACTTTTTTACTCAATTAATTGAGCAAATCAAAAACATAACTTAATTGTTCTCAGGGTGAAAAATCTCCTTATATTAACCTATATTGTGTGGGTCCAAAGATTTCCTAGTTGTCCTTTATCGGGATAGAGAAAAAAGGATAATAATAAAAATAGTATGTTACAAAAAATTGGTATTCTTTATTTTATTTAAAGAAGAATAAAACAATTATCAAACTTAGCCCTTATCTTATCAATCGGCGTAAATGAATACAATAAAATTTACACAAAAAGAATATTTTAAGTCGTCTTAAAGACAAAACCAGTTTAAAGACAATTTCAATGAATATCTTAACTTTTTATCTTTCTGGTTTTTCAATATTTACTTTATTGCAAAAAAAACCTTTAAACATTTTACAAATGAAGTCTACTCTTGAGTTATAATAGTAATGACAATGATGTCAACAAAATTCATTCACAGTTACAAAATTTTCAATTCTGAACAAAAATCACTGACCTTTCCTTCGTAGATTGTATTTGGACCATACCCAGAAATACCTGACTCAATTCTCCAACAATTAACACTTGAAATTTAATTCTCCAAACACTCAGATACTTCACAATGACACAAAGACTTCTTTTTGTCAACTTGGTGCCGCCAAACTATTTTCTACGTATTCCAGAAACTGCCCACTTTAGATCCAAGGATATCTTTTCATCGACTTGTAATCTTCTTACACAATTCTGCTAACTTCCTTTTACAATGCCGGTATCCAAACTCACGAACACACCCTCTATCGAGACGCGACCTTTTCTTTCGATGATCAAATGACAACTACCTCTTTCTCTCATACATCGACTATCAATTCTCTCATTAAAAAAAATCTAAAATCAAAAAGCTTTATTTTGTTTACAATCATTAAGACAAAAACCCATTACGGTTTCCAGAGAAACTAAAATTTTTGCTTTAAAACTGGCTTTCCCTTTGGTTACAAATACATAATTCATCTCCTATAACAAAAGGTTAATTACAATATCTTAATACTAGGTCATATACAAAAAATGAAAATATTATAATAAGTATTTCTAAGGGAAAATATTATAATAGGGATTTTTAATTCTATATAAAAAGATTTTGACAGGCAAAACTTTCTGTTAATCTAGTCTTATCTTAATCTAATATATAAAATAAATTTTGTTTACCAGGATGTCTTGAAAATTTATTTAAATGGTCTATTTATTAATATTTATTTTTCTCTTTTTTGGCTGAGAAAAAGAAGTATGACAATATATACACACACATACACACACACACACACACACACACACACACACACACACACACACACACACACACACACACACACACACACACACACACACACACATATATATATATATATATATATATATTATATATATATATATATATATATATATGACGGCAAACCAAAATATTTTTACATAAAATTTAAGTAAAATTTAAACCAAAATTATTAAACAATACACATAACTATGGTTTTCTTATAAAAAATAAAATGTAAAATTGTTAATTATGCCTATGAATAAAAAATGAAACATACTAATTTCTTCTAAAATTACCAAGAAAAAAATTATTAAAACAATAGATACAAAACAAGTTAATACAAAACAAGTCATTGATATTAAATTATCTACTGACATGATGAAAACTAATTATATCTACCATTGTGACAGAAGCTCTAGTAAGAGCTTCTTTATTTCTGGGAAAAGCATTATCTGCTTCTATGAATTCCGTGGCCGGTCTCAGCTTTTGTGGTGGAAGAGTTCTGAACTAAGTAGGTATTCTTCAACGCTCCACAGAATACAGACTGGGAGGGGGAAGCGACACGGCGCGTCCCATATGGCTGATAGGGGACGTCCTGTATATTATACAGGATAGGTGCAAATAAGGTTCACCAAATAAGCACTCGAGGATCAACTGAGGACATGGTATAGGGCAGCAGCTATGTCATTACTAACTCCAAGGCTGGGGAAGAATGACTTCTTAATAGGCTTGGAATCAGATACTTATGGGCGAAAATCAGATATTGGTTTAATCGGTTATAATACTGCGGTGTTTAAGGCAAGGAGAAACCAACACACTAAATATTCTCAAGATATTATAACTATGGCAAGTTACGGAAAACAAAAGGCCCCTAGTCCGTGGCAGACCTTAGATGGTCAAGGGGTGCTAAAAATCCCCACGACAAATGCTAGGAACCACCCGAAAGTGGAAAACAAAAATTACAAGTTAAAAATTGGAACCTGGAATGCAAAATCTCTCTTTATGCCAGGAAGATTTCATAACATCGTGAAAGAAATGAAAAGAATGGGAGTCAACATTCTCGGAGTCAGTGAAGTTAGATGGCCTGGATCTGGACAGACAAACATCGATAACCATGTGATATTTTTTTTGAACCTATTCTCTATCCTTCCATTGTTGGATATAGGTCTCCCCCAGTTCTCTCCATCTTTCCCTATCTTGAGCTGTTCTCTGCCAGATGGGACCTCCTTGTTTCCTGATGTTATCTTTCCACCTCATCTGTGGTCTTCCTTTTGATCTCTTTGCATTGTATGGACGCCACTTTCCGATGACATTGTTCCATCGTCCGTCTTGGAGACGTTCATTGCGTCCAGCCCATTTCCATTTCAGTTTTGCTGCTTGTTCTATCGCGTCTACTGTCTCTGTTCTGGTTCTGATCCATTGGTTACGTTTTCTATCTCTAAGTGATACACCCAACATTTGTCTCTCCATCGCTCTTTGTGCCTTCCTTATCCTATCCAAATTGGCCTGTGTAAATGTCCATGTCTGTGCTCCGTAGGTGAGCCCGGTATTATACAGGAGTTATATACCTTGCTTCGTAAGTATAGAGGGATTGTTTGATTTTTTAGAACGTAAGAAAGTTTGCCGAACGCTGCCCATCCCATTCTTACTCGTCTCGATATTTCGGCTGTTTGATTTTCTCTGTTAGCTCTGATTGCTTGTCCTAGATAGATATACTCATTTACCTGTTCTATTTTTTCTGTTTTTATTTTTATTGCCTCTTGGTCTTCCGTGTTTGTCATTACTTTTGTTTTGTTGAAGTTAATTTTTAGGCCTTTTTGCAGTGATTTATCATGATGTTCATTCAGCATTAATTCCAGTTCTTGTCGTTCCGAGGAGATCAGGAGTATATCATCCGCATATCTAAGGTGATTTAGGTATTTTCCGTTAATACGTATTCCTTTGTTTTCCCAATCTGTTGATTTTATTATGTCTTCGAGGGTCAAGGTAAACAGTTTAGGTGAAATTATATCGCCTTGTCGGACTCCTTGTTTAACTTTTATATTATCCGTTATTAATTTGTCGTCCAGAATTACGGTCATGGTTGCGTTTTGGTAAATATCATGTATAAATTATCGGTATCTTGAATCTATGATATACTATGTGATATACTATGCTGGTAATGACGATCCTCATCATTATAACGGAGTGGCATTTATAGTTGACCAGAAAAGCAGTAAATGTTATAAAGAACTTTATACCTATGTCTGATAGAGTAGCTATGCTGCAAATTAATACCACTCCTCGTAATATTAACTTTATGTAAGTATATGCTCCTACAGCAGAAAAACAAGAAAGAGAAGTACGAGAATTCTACCAAGAGATCAAACAGCTAATGAAGATCACAAAGAAAAATGCTGTAAACATTATTATGGGAAATTTTAATGCCAAAGTAGGTGAAGGGCGGACCGAAGACGTAGTAGGAAATTTTGAGTTGGTCCAAAGAAATGATAGAGGAGAAATACTGGTCCAATTTTGCCAAGAAGAAAATCTAATGATCGCAAATACCTGGTTTAAACAACCCAAAAGAAGATTATATACATAGAAAGCACCTGATGATAATCAAAACCGCATATTAAGAAACCAGATTCATTATATATTAATTGACAAACGTTATAGAAATGGAATCAGGGGAGCTAAAACATATCCCGGGACAGACATCGGTTCCGACCACAATCCTGTTGTTGGTAAAATTTTAATCAAACTAAAGAAAATCAAATACAGAGAGAAGATAAAACCTAACCTCGAAAACTTAAAAGATCGAATAGTACACGCAGAAATAGAAAAAACACTCAATGATACATTCAAAGAAAAGTTCAGTGAAGCACCCGCGGAAGCAGAAGAAACAATATAAAGTATTTGGCACACCTTCAAAACAACAATCACAACTATACAAAGAGAACAACTACAAGACAACATCAGAAAAACAAAGA